GGCTCCCTCTTGGGGCTCAAGCCTGACCTGACTCGCTCGCTGCCCTGCCTCGGACCCTCTCCTAACTCCCAGCTTTGCACTGTGCCCTGCGCCCCTTACACCCAGTCAGCAGCTCAGCCAGTGGAGTCAAGTTCCTCCTGTGTGTGGGTGCATGTGTGTGTGGGCGCGCGTGTGTGTGGGAGCACGCGTGTGTGGGTGCATGTGTGTGTGGGCGCGCGTGTGTGTGGGTGCATGTGTGTGTGGGCGCACGTGTGTGTGGGTGCACGCGTGTGTGGGCGCACGCGTGTGTGGGTGCACGTGTGTGTGGGTGCACGTGTGTGTGGGTGCACGCGACTGCCTCCCACCCACACAGACCACCGCGTACAGGCAGACACGGCACCACCTCGATAGCTTTTGTGCCCAGTGGATGGGGGGCAGGAGTGATCGGGCCGCCCTGATGGCCACAGGGGCCACAGGGGCTTGGGGCCAGGGTCTTCCTGGGACCTGTCGATGCGGCTGAGAGAGAAGCGAGCGAGGGTGGGAGCTGGTGGGTGGAGGCAACGCAGAGAAGCAACATGGGACCCCATGAGTGGACCTGGGCCCCCCCAGGCCCAGCCTCCTCTGGCGCTCTTGGCCCCTGGGGTCCAGCAGGGTGCCCCCCGGGTCGGGTTGGCCCCAAAGACGCTGGTGGAGGGTGTTGGCGCCTCCAGAAGCATGTCTGAGGTTTGGGATCTCCCACCGTTGGCTCTGAGCAGCCGGCACACCGCCAGGGCCAAGGCTGCCCCAGGGCTGACTACTCTGGGGCCTGAGCTGAGCTGGCCGCCCTAGGACCCGGCCCCCCGCCCACCCCCCAACCCCACCCCCAGCCTCTCCAGAACAATAGCTGCAGATGCCCAGAGAGGGGCCGGCCCACGGTCAGGCTGGTAGGCTTGGGGTTCTGCTGCTGGTGGGGAAGGTGAGCCCCCTCTTGCCTGGCCTGAGAGGGAGAGGCCACGACTCTCGGGGTCACGGGGAGCTTCCAAAGCAGCACTAAGGAGAAGCCGGTGGGAGGAGCGATGGGGGCTGCAGCCCCAGCGAAGGGGCGGAGGGAGCGGGGAGAGGTGAGGGCGATGCACAGTTGTGGGGGGCGCCCCAGGGCCCAGGGGGCCCAGGTGTGTACTCACTGCCAACAGCGGAGCCCGCAGCGGCACCTGTGGAGAGAAGGGTCTCAGCCTGCGGCCCGGAGCCCTGGGGCTTCTTCTGGACGGAGAATGGGCAGAGAGGGGAAGGGGACGCCGCCAGGGCAGGCGATGCCGGCGAGGCTGCCAGTCAGAGGAAGTGGCAGGGACTAGAGAAGGTCCTGGTGGCAAGGAAGTGGCTGGGCTCCTGGGAGGGGGAGGAGCCGGCCGTCACCTCTGAAGGCCGCTGCGCTGTAAGTCAGCCTTCAAAGGTGTGTGTGTGCATGCGTGCGTGCATATGTGTGTGCACGCGCATGCGCGCATGTGTGTGCACATGTGTGCGTGTGCATGTATGTGTGTGTGCATATGTGTGTGTGCATGTGTAATGTGGAACTCCTGGGGTTGAAGGGCGGGGAGCCCAGGGCCTGGCTGGCTGGCGGCCGGAGTGGGGGCCCTGCCGTACGTACACGCGTTGGGAGAGCCGTGGGGCAGCGGCAGGTAGGAGCCGGCCCGCCAGGACCGCGTGCGGAAGTTCTTGCGGCACTTGCCGCAGTCGGGGCCCGTGGTGTTGTGCTCGCACTCGCACTGCAGGCTGCCCTCGCGCACGGAGCACAGGTTGGCGTGCAG